AGGGTTTCGTTCTGCACCTTCCTGGCTCATGAATATCCAGAACAAATTCACAAGATGGTGATGATCAACGGCGGCGGTCCCACAGCTCTGGAGCCCAGCCTCTGCTCCATCTTCAACCTGCCCACCTGTGTGCTTCACTGCCTCTCCCCGCTGCTCGCCTGGTGCTTTCTCAAGTAAGACAGCGAAACTGAAAGATCCTCCAAGGAAGGAGGCATGACTCAGTTTGTTTTCTGTTTCTCTAAACAGCTGAAGTTCAGGTTTGTAGCCTCCTAAACATAAATGCTTTAACGCAAGCACATTTATTCACACATTTTGCAGAAAGAGTGTAAGTAAGAGAGTTTGACAAAGAAATAAAAGTTGTGCAGGCAGTAAAACGTAATTTTTTCTTTGGTATAAATGTCGTCTACTCTGCAGGGCGGGCTTCGCTCGGCAGGGCGCCAGGGAGAAGCAGTTGCTGAAAGAGAACAATGCCTTCAATGTGTCGTCTTTTGTGCTGCGTGCCATGATGAGCGGGCAGTACTGGCCTGAGGGGGACGAGGTCTACCACGCTGAGCTGACAGTGCCCGTCCTGCTGGTGCATGGCATGCATGACAAATTTGTCCCTGTTGAAGAGGACCAACGAATGGCAGAAGTAAGTGGGGGGGGGTCTCACACTTCCTAACGAAGCTATTGTTATTATAAATAACAGATTGTGGACTGAAAACATCACTCTGTGGTGAAAAGGATAAGAAATGTGTCCCAGTTTGGAAAGAAGAAAATCCAGTTAAAAATCTTCATTAAAGCAGACGTTCAGCTTTATTTATACAGCAACGACGCACAACAACAGCTGCCTCAATGTGCTTTATATTGTAAGGTAGCAAAAACCACAACAATCAGAAGATCCCCAATGAGCAAGTGCTATGGTGACAGTAGGAAGGAAAAACTCCCTTTTAACAGGAAGAAACCTCAGAACCAGGCTCAGGGAGGGGCGGGGCCATCTGCTGCAACCAGCTGGGGTGATTGGAGGAAGACGGGACAAAGACGTGGAAGACATAACTTCATAACTATGTAATATAAGATAAGAATCATCACCTTGCTTTGTGTTTCAAGTTGAACTCTCCGGTGAACATTTGATAATCTTGCAGCCTGGTTCTTCTCTCTGATGAAAATAGCTGCTCTGCACGCAGCGATGAAATTAGCTTAGGAAACAGATCGTTCCCTCAGGGGTCATAATCAAAGCAAAACTAGAAATATAATTCTCAGGTGACCAGAAAAACAACCGAATCAGTGCTTTGCTAAACGAGCAGCAGTTTGCAAACAAATTCACCGTAACAAGCTGAAATATGAAATCAGGTCAGATATCAGTTTACAGCATCCAGTGAATGTTTAAAAAAATCAGCTGCTTTAACAAATTCTCAGGTAAACAGCAGCCAAAACAATGATGCAGCGGCTGAACTTTAGTGGCTGATTCATGAGAAGAGACACAGAAATTCATTTAAATGCCAAATTGTGTCCTTCTGTGAACTTACACACATAGTGTGGTTGTTTTCCGCCCAATAAAAAGGACCAAAAAGTTTTGTTTGGATTAACACTTCGACTCTGATTCATTCACTTGAACTGTAGTTTGTTATTTGCAGCAATATCATTCAGAAAGTGTTAAGCTGGTGATGAGTCTAACCTTTATTCTTATCAGATACTTCTAATGGCGTTCCTGAAGGTCTTGGAGGACGGCAGTCACATGGTCATGATGGAGTGTCCGGATCCCGTTAATACGCTCCTGCACGAGTTCTTCCTCTGGGAACCGCCGACCCTCCCAGCGCCAAAGAAAGAGTCCAAAACCCGTCCAGAGACCGCTAAAGCTCGAACTGATAACACTCAGGCAATAGCCGAGCCCAGCAAGGCCCGGCCTGCGACTGCTAAACAAGCCTAACGAAGCGGCAGCGGGTTCACATCGGAGCTGAAACACTGGTTGTTACAGTGAATCGAGGTCGGCCAGTCGGTGCATCACAAGCATCCAAGTGCATCTGGTGCAAGCTGTTAAACCTGATGATGAGCCAGTTAACTGGTCCTGCTGGAGGCGAGCACTCTGCAGAGGTCACTGATTCCAAATAAACTCCCGCCATGTAACACACGGCAGCGAGGACGCGTTTGTGCCTTGAACTGATGCGTTACAGTGACGGTACCTGGATCGGAGAAGCACAAATGGAAACAGCTGCCAAGTGGGAACGATGATAAACTGGGACACGAACATGTGGCTCCTGGTTGAGTCTCAGCTGTAATTCACAGCTGAGACTCAACCTTGTGAAGCGTAGCTGGATAGTCAGTCATTTTTTTATTCCTCATAAGTATTGCAAACCTTACCTGTTGTAAAGGTAAGCATGTGAAAATAACACAATGCCATACACGAAATAACAAATTGGGAAGATGTTTTTTGATGAAAAACAAAGACCTCCATCCATCGGCCTTTTTCTTCTCTCTCTGCACTGATGCATGAAGCTCAGTGTAGCTATGAAAGCAGCTGCTTCTGGTATTTAATAGAAATGCATTAATGGGGGTTTAAGGGGGGGAAGTGAAAGTAAGTTTGCTACTTCTGAGACATCAAGAAAATGATGTTCAATCGAGTGTGCGCTGCTAAACTTAGCAATAACTGCAGGTCATCACTGAGTCGTACATTTACAGGAACAGCACAATCGCATGTATGCAGCGAGGCGTTAATGCAGCAGGAAACAAAGCATGTCGAGCAGTGCAGCAGAGGACACGTCCAAGCTGAACACCACAAAGTCTTTGCAGACATTATTGTGTAATGCTGCTCCGTGTCGGTGCTGTAGCACCTCTGAGATTTCATTCCTCACTAAAACTGACTGAGAGTCACCGACAAACAGCTTCTACGTGTCCTTTATTACACTGTGTTGTGTTGTTGTGTCTGCTGAACGCACACAAAAGAGTTTAGCTTGGAAACGTGTTACTGTGCAGTGCACTGACTGTAGCGTTTGAGTCCTTCGTAGTTTAATGTGGACGTCTGTGACTCCACAGCGTAAACAATCAACACTACGAAGCTGTTAAATCCTCTGTGACTGTAAAGGTTCGTTAGTGGATTTAAACTCTGGCATTTGCTGCGTTCACAAACCCTCACAGGGCCTCAGTCAGCTGCACAGGGCACAGATCTCACCCTTTTCTTTCTTTTCAAACATATTTGATTTTTTAAATTCGTAGGACAGACTTTTTATACTTTTGACTTCAGGTTAGGATGAATGTTCCTGAGATTCAAAGCAAGAAATGTTGCTTTTGATTCAAATAGAAGGAAACTGTCTGCTTTGTGTCTTGTGTGTCTTAAATTTTGTAACTGTTGGCCTTTGTCAATGAAAAACGTGATAAATTATTTACATGATCACAGTAAATGTGAATTTTCAAAAAA